ATCTATCTATCTATCTATCTATCTATCTATCTATCTATCTATCTATCATCTATCTATCTATCTATCTATCTATCTATCTATCTATCTATCTAACTTTCAGTGTCTAGACTCTTGACAATCAGTGGCATACAAATGGTTGTAAATCAATTCAATAAATAAATAAAACCTGGATTAAAAACAGATTAGCAAGAAATAGCTCTTCAGAGGTCAGAAGCCCTAATTTATCTGCAGCCATTGAAAATATCCTCACTCTCATGTCTCTTCTAATGTTAGAGAACTATCAGGAATTCATTCCTAAAGTTACAGAGAGAATGCAAATGAGAGGGCCACTAAAATGCACCATCTAATATCCAACATGTAATTTAACAGATCCGCCTTTCCGTTTCTTTTGTTGCTTAGAAATTATAGTAATGCATGGATCATGATTTAAGATTCACAAACCTTCATATCAATGTGAATTCTTTCAGCCAAGAAGACTTTTTAAAGGTTGGGTTATAGATCACATAAAGGGTAACTAAAACTCTGACTAGGTCAAGCTTTCAAAAACATAAGACAGAAGCAGATATTTTTGTTTAATCCGATCTGTCCCATCACATGTAAAATAGGGAAGCAGTCCAAATCAAGAGAAATGCAAATCCTTTCCCTGACTTTTAATTAGTACCCTGCAGCTTCTTTCCTTAGACCAGCATTTCTCAACCTTGGCAACTTGAAGATGGGTGGACTTCAACTCCCAGAATTCCCCAGCCAACTCTAGATTTGTACTATGTTGGCTAGGGAATTCTGGGAGTTGAAGTCCATCCATCTTCAAATTGCCAAGGTTGAAAAACACGACAGACATTTTCTTCTCCTTTCCTGTTCTTTGAGCTTGATTTTGAAGAGAAAAGCACCTATTGAAGGAGACTGAAAAGAAGTTACTGCATTGTCAAGATTGCTGGAGTTTAGAACCCCCACTTAACTCTTCCATTTGCCTTAAGATTCAAATACATCCTTAGTTTTACTTACAAGTAGGGCAGGTCCAAATGTAAGAAAAGGCTGTTGTCACACTGTATGTATCATTTGGAGGAGGACAGCTATTAGTTTTCACTTTGGTATTAAGCATGTGTATCAAACACACACATTTACAAATCTGAAATTCATACTGATTAATGCCCATTGAGAGAAGAGATTTAAAAATTAAAAATAACACAAGAAACATGCTAACATTTTATGAATGAACAGGATAAGTTCAACCTTTCTGTGACTGTTGTGTCTCAGTGTGAAACTTACCTGTCCAGCAGTGCCAACAAGGTAAGTCGATCGTACCAGATTTTTATCCATTTGCCAGGAAAAACAATAAATTTGTAAAACTGTCTATTAATTTTTCTTTGAGCTGATGAGCATGAAGAATCCTCAAGGTCTTCGCTAAAATGCTTTCAACATGAAATTAAAAATAAAAGAATTGTATATCATTTTCATAGCACTGCTTTGTATAAAGATAGAGCTTTGATACAATTTGATAGTTTGTTTCTTTTTCAGTGGATATAATCAAACAATGATCATAGTCAATATTTTCTTACAGGTTAACTTTTTTTTTGGTAAACTTGAGTATATTCAGTCTTGCCTAATTTCTTGCACATGGCAAATACTGGGATGTTTTTACTGCCCTTATAAGATTATCAATTGAAATACACCAGAGCAAAACAATCTAAGTCCCCCAAGATTGCTCAGTGTGTGGCATTTAAGTGTTGCCTATAATTTGAACACAAATGGCATTACATTTGGAAATACTGCGGAAAGTATTTTTCTTATTTTATTTAGAACCAATTTGGTGTGGTGGTTAAGAGACATTAGGCTAGAAGCCTGGAGACCAGGTTTATTCAGGCAATCAAATGAGACAACACTTACTTAGAGGAGATTCATACTATACATACATACATACATACATACATACATACATACATACATACATACAATAAAATTTCTCAGGACAAAGTAGTTTTTTTAACTCTTTTGCTCCTTTAAAAAAAATCCATCAAATCAAATTTAAAACCCCTTTTTGTCAGCATAAAATTTAGTATAATAGTTGATGCTTAGTGGAAAATTAGCTATTCTTCCATTTGCATGCTATAACAAGCTTACACCAACCTCATTTGAAAGGTGCAAGTTTATATAGCTAGACTGGAAGATATTCACAATTTTTTTTTTTAAATATATAGGTACTGAAATGTTACATGGTACCCGGTGGGTTTCAGAAAGAGCTCCGCGTGCCAGCATCAGTAAGAACTGTTGTTGCCGTGCCCTTGGTCCATGATCTCCAGTAGATGCTTCTTGGATCTCTGAGGTAGTTGTACTAGAGGAGCTGAAATGGATTTCACTGTACGCATAAAAATAAAAAGAGATAAAAAGAGTAGAATTAATTAAAAAGTATATGATTAATAACAATTTGGAGTGTCTGCAGGGATGGGGTGATAAAGAAAAGTCAAGATGATAGGATGCAACCATGAGATCAAAGCTACCATCTTGATTCCCACTCACCCACCCAGACACCCCCAAATCTATGGGGAAAAAACAAGAGGCTTCAGAGACTGACTATATTATCTGGGGGCTCCCCACAGATTCAGAGAAAATCTTATTCCAATTCCTTCTACAAATGTGCCAATAGCTGACTTAAGACATTAGAATTATGCAGATAGCTCTCTTGTTCCTCCCAGGTCACTGCTTATGACACCTGTGACACTTGATAACACCTTAAACAATAATTCCATAGTTTGGTCAATATTTGTAGGCTGTATAGATGCCTATCCAAACAATCATGAAGGGCAAAGCAGAGGATTTTTTTTGAGGTAGGACATAACTTTTTTCAAACTGCTTCTCTCTTATACCTTTGGGATTTATTAGAGGTTTCAAGGTTAAAAAAAGAAGCAGACGCATCAATCGAACAGGCCTTTGAGTTCAGACCCAATATAGAGCAATATAGAATTGATTCAAACTATATTTTCAAAATTAAAATAGGCTGGCAAAATGTCACCCTAGTTTTTTTGGTTGCTGTAGATTCAACCATTGAAAGAAATAATAATTAAACCAAACAAGTCCTGTTTCATGAATGAAACATAAAGTTTGATTTCTACTGAGTTTCTGTGCATAACCGAATTGGCTAACTGCAAGAATATAGAAATAATATAAAATAATAGTATACAATTATTAATCCAATAAATGCAATAAAATTAATACAATTAAAAATCATTGGGAGTTCTTAACCAATGTACAGAATTATTATTGATTCACAAGTACTCTTCAAATGTTTATTTGAAAATTAGAACGCCTGACATAGAAACCAACTTAAATTTAGCTCTGGTAAAATTATGTGGATTGTCAGCTTAGCTAATATATTGGTCTCAAATAATGCAAGAAACAACAGTAAAGTTTTAATTATGGCAATTTTAGAGACATTTTAAAGACTAAAGTATCATTGAAAAGAATGGCGTTTATGAGTAAACATGGATAGAATTGTATTCTATGGCATCCCATTTACACTGTGTATGAAATTAAAAATCGTGGAATTTTGTGGATGTAATTGAAAGAGATTGTCTGGCTAATTAGTCTGTTAAAATAGCTGTATCTTATATTAACTATTGCAATTTTCAGAATAGCTTAAGATTCTAAATCAGCTGAGATCTATAGTTTACAACTATACCTCAAACACAACTTTTAATATTATTTAACGTTCTATTTAGACTACTGGCAATCTGGTGTCTAATAGGAAAAAGAAATCAATAAAATAGAAGCTAGGAAGATGAAATAAATACTTTCTATTTTTTTTTTCTTGTTCTTTTCCTTATGACCTAAAATGATACATCTGCCCTAGAGTTGACTATTCTGTTAAAAAGATTTTGACTGCCACCATGTGGCAAAGTTTTTTTGCATTTACTTTCCTTTTTATTTGACACACATGGTATGATCTGATCTTGTGCAATCCTCTCTTCCCAGTTCCCAGAGCCTTTAGACCAGAGGTAGTCAACCTTTTTATACCTACTGCCCACTTTTGTATCTGTTAGTAGTAAAATTTTCTCTAACCGCCCACCGGTTCCACAGTAATGGTGATTTATAAAGTAGGGGACAAAACCCTTACCGCCCACCATGAAAGCTGGAATGCCCACTAGTGGGCGGTAGGGACCAGGTTGACTACCACTGCTTTAGACAAAGGTCACATTAACCAATAATTCAAGGAACTGTAATCCCAACCATACCTGAATGGTGCCAGATAGGCACCATTTTGTTGTGGTGTGCCGAAAGCACGTACGTGAAATAGCGTGCACGCGTGCCAGCAGCCACAATGCAATGTGCCCTGCCTCCCCTGTGCATGCATGCGCAACACACACACTCCACCCCTTACCTGCACTGCACATGCGCGCACCTCCCAGCTGATTTTCTGGAAATATCAGAAGTGACGAAACGGGCCTGTTTTTCGACCTCCCAAGGCTGCAGAGGCTTCCCTCAAGCCTCTGGAAGGCCGAAAACAGGCCAAAAATCAGCTGGGAAGCGCACACATGCGTAGTGCAAGTAAGTTTGGCTGGGGCTCGCGTGCCCACACAAATGGCTCTGTGTGCCACCTGTGGCATGCGTGCCATAAGTTCGCCATCACGGAGATAGGGTAAGACTGATCTATAACAAGAGTTTCTCATCCTTAGCAACTTGAAAATGTGAGGACTTCAATTCTCAGAATTCCCCAGACAGGAGTTCCAGAATTCACCACCCATCTAGGGTGGGCTAGGGAATTCTGGGAGTTGAAATCCATACATCTTCAATTTGGCAAGATGGAGAAACACGGATCTAGAATATTAACCGAGAACCGGTGTGATATAGTAGTTAAGATGTAGGACTAACATCCTGGAGACCCAGGTTCAGGTCTACTCTTAACACTCACTGCAGACTTTTGGCTAATTATTCTTGCAGTCCAACCTATCATGCAGGGACATTGTTGGAAGGGAAAATTAGAAGAGGGAGCCTATATATACACTTTGAAGGAAACATGAGATATAAGTCCAATAAATGAATTCTATTTTCTTTGGCTAACCTACTGATGATAAAATGTTAATATATTGAAGCATCTTGACACATAATTATGTAATTATGGAAAAAATGTTTGTCCCTAAAGAATGCTTTTTAAGAAATGCTGACTGAAACCACACATATTTGATTCACAAACACAAAAGAAATCCTAATTTCCATCCCATCAAGGAATATTCATGAAGTGGCTCTTTCCTGCCTTCTCCTACAACCCCTCCCATTTCTGAACTGGGGGACAAAGTTTCAGATTTGGCCCAAATTATGCGTCCTGGTTGGTAAAGGTCTCTACATGGGCTGAAATTAATGCCATGGTAAATGCACCTTTGAATGAGGAGGTGCTGTTATTCTCACTGAAAAAGACAGTAGGGCATATCCTCCTCAAGAAGGCATAACTCAATTTTGATATGCACACCAAATCATGAGGAAAATAGTCCTCTTCCACTATTAGGTGGGATTATACTTATTATAAGAGCTGTGGCAGTATAGTGGTTAGAATGCAGTACTGCAAGCTAACTCACGGCTCACTCCAGGCATTTGATTCTGAGCAGCTGAGGGTTAACTCAGCCTTCCATCGCTCCGAGGTCAGTAAAATGAGGACCCAGATTGTTGGGGGCGATATGCTGACTGTAAACCGCTTAGAGGGGGCTGTAAAGCACTGTGAAGTGGTATATAAGTCTAAGTGCTATTGCTATAGACTACCTGTATTGCAACAGTAACTTATATCACAGGAAAAATTTGCAAATACAGAATGAATGTGGTACTGGCATAAAATTAAGATATTTGTTAAATTATTTACAGGATATCATATAAAACTTATTTCTTTACTTTTATCCTAGATACCAGTTCAATTTCATAATAGAGTAGACGAGTGCTAGATAACCCGTTTTGCAAATAAGAAGTCCTAAGTTCAAATACTGGCAATTATAATTCGAAGTTGGAGAAATACTATGATTTATTGAACACGATACAGAGCTTGAAGGAGAAAATATCTAAATTATTATACAACAGAGTCTATGTCATTCACATATGGATATTTCATGAAAATGATATTCCCGGAAAACCAAGCAACCATTCCAGAAATGAAATCCAGCACATGAGGAGCTTACTTACTGAGTATTGGAGATGCAATCATAGATGGGTGAATTTTCAATATTTCCTTCTGCTTGACTCCTTAAGTACAAGGACCTCATTTCTCCTTCAAATAAAAGGAGACATAATCTGTTGAGCAATGATCTGCCATGCACTCAGTTTTATAACTGAGAAATTATAAAATTAGAAGGCCAGCTTTCCAGAAATAGAAATCCTATCTTAAGGTATCCTTGTCAATGACTTGCATTCTCTCAGCTCTATCTGATAAGACAAATTTCAGCACCATTGTAGCTGCTGCAACACAATCATTTTAAAATGTTCCTTGCCACAGCCCTAGCCTTGGCAACAATCCTCTTGTAACTTTGCATTAGCCATGGAGAAATCAGAACAATGGCATCTGAAAGGGTGGGTGGGTTAGCAAGTTTGTTAAAGCTTAGATTTGGCTATTAAAATTTAGTTCCAGAGTTTAACTCTGAAAGAAAGAGGTGGGTTGAGGGAGAAGCTAGAAGGAGAGAAGTTCATAGACTGAGCTGGAATTGGGAAAATGTTAAAGGGAAGACAGAAAGTCCATGTTTCATTAAGAGAGTATGGATGGGTGCTATGCTAAGTGTAAAGATTAGAATCTGGATGGTCTTGGGTACTGGTGGCACTGACATTCATCCCAAAGGAAAGTGCAGAAACCTCTGTAGCTATTGCCCACAGCACATTTAAATGCTATAAAAGAGAATTTGTGGAATAGAATCAGAAAGGAAGGCAGAGAACAAGGATGGCTGTTGCAGCATCTGGAACCCAAAGTGCAAAGGGAGAAACAGAGAAGAAAAAAAGAAAGCTTCGAAGAAGTTGAGAGGAGAGGAGAGAATGGTGGACAGTATGGAACAAAATAAAGTGGAAGAGTTAGGAAATGTGCCAAGAGGCTATGAAAAGGGTTCTTGTTGTGGGGAAAGTAGGAGGAAGGTGTATTGCATGTTTGCCCCCTTGAGTAATTTGTAAAAATAATAAATGTGGGAAATAAATAAATGCACACATACACACATACATACTTGGACTGCTTATGGGGCATATTTGAAGTGTTGGTGATAACCTTCCAAACCTTAAATGTATAGGATCTATACATTTAAAAAGCCTATCACAGATCTCTAATTGCCATGCCTCAATAGAATCCTGGGACCTATTCAGATACATGAGTCCGAGAAGCTAATCCACATGCACATAGAAACCTAAGTGAGTTTACCCAAAGGAAAAGCTTTCCCAATTCCTCCATATGAGATTACCTTTTCCATCTATGAAGGAATAGATGTGCATTGTATCCACTGACATCTCTTCTTGCACCGATGCTTCAGGGCCACTTATGACTTGCAAGAGGGAACTGTCTGGCTGTGAAGTTACCCGATAAATGATCTGTCGTTGTCTGGTGCTCTGGTAACTTGTCAAAATATCAATAAGAAAAAGCGGGGGGGAGAGTTTCAAAAGCAGCAGGTGAATTCTTTCTCTGCCCCACCCTAGCAATTTCTCATGAAACCAAGAAAATAGAGCAAATGAAACTTGACGTGAACTTTTTCATAACGCCTATGGCCAACACATATTACTGCATACTTGAAAAATAAGAACATAGTTCTTACTGGGCAGTGAACTTTATTGGTTCTGGCATCACTGGATTAACGTTAGTACAATCCTGAGTTTCCATCTCGGTTTTCTCCTGTTTACAGGAACCATGATTTTCATTTTTTCCTGTTGTCAATGCACCCTCTCTTTTCTCTCTTAGAAAGCCATCTGAAAGACACAGAGAAAACTTTCCATGTACAACCTGGGAAAATATTTTGCTTGTATTTTTGTTTCCTGAATGAAAAGGTCTTGACACCACTACCATAGAAAAATGCCAGACCTTTGAAAGTCAATTTATGATTACATTAATTCATACCCCTCACCAGCCCAGAGATCAAAGTTAATAAATGTATTGGGCCAAGCACTTACATATGATGAATGATGTCCACTAACGATGCTGAAAAGTAGCAATATCATAAGTATTAAATGAACCATCTGCTGTCTTTTCCTTTATGCTTGTATGGATTGATGGTGAAGTGATTCATAACCCAAGTCTGTAGGAAATGTGACATTAAATCTTTCCTTTTCCTCCTTTTCTGTCTCTTTGATTTTACTGTCAGCTTCAGTCCAGATAGGTTTTCCTTCTCCTTCTTTTTTGACCTTTAGTCCTCATTCTTAAATTCTATACCCGTGATGGTAAACCTATGGCACCCGTGCCACATGTGGCACGCTGAGCCATTTGTGCGGGCATGCGAGCCCCAGCCAAACTTACCTGCACTGTGCATGCATGCACCTCCCAGCTGATTTTTTGCTCGTTTGAGGCCATTTTCGCCCTCCTGGTGGCTCGAGGGAAGCCTCTAGAGCAGAGGTCTCCAACCTTGGCAACTTTAAGACTTGTGGACTTCAACTCCCAGAATTCTCCAGCCAGCTCTGCTGGCTGGAGAATTCTGGGAGTTGAAGTCCACAAGTCTTAAAGTTGCCAAGGTTGGAGACCTCTGCTCTAGAGCCTTGGGACAAAACAGGCCCATTTTAGCCTCCTGAGCCTCCAGAGGCTTCCCTCGAGCCTCTGGGAGAACGAAAATGGCCTCCCCCAGGCTCCAGAGGCTAAAAATGGGCACTTCCGGTATTTCCAGAAGGCCCGTTTTTCGGCCTCCTGAGGCTCCAGAGGCTTCCCTCAAACCTCCAGGAGGGCGAAAATGGCCTCAAACGGGATGAAAATCACCTGGGAGGCACGTGTATGCACAGTGCAGGTAAGGGGACAGGGCGGGGGTGTTGTGAGTGCATGAACAGGGGGGACAGGGTGCATTGCATTGTGGGTACTGGCACGCACGCTTTTGGCACACCACAACAAAAAGATTCACCATCACTGTTCTATACTCTGTCTTCTTCAGATATCTCTTGTATGCATTTTACTGCCTTCTCCTATTTCCGGGACAAAAGACTTCTCTTTTAAAAAAACATCCTATTCATTTATTACCAGTTCTCCAGTTTAACCTAATCCCTTTAATATCTAGCTTTGATTGTCTTAATGCTAATACAATATTTCAACTTTCAGCCTCTAGATCTCTATGATTCTTATCCACTTACTTATTGGTGAAATTACTTTTCCCAGAAGTTGATAGAACCACATACGAAGAGACCTGCTGCCAATCTAGTCCAACTTTTTATGTTATTCAGCAGCAACCAATCAGATATATCTGGGAAATTCAAAATCACAAACAATAGGATGGAAGCTCTGCTCCCATTAGTTCTCCACTATGTTAAGTAAGAGACATGCTATATTTAAGGAGATACTAAAATGAATAGAATGGAGAAACAGATCATTCACAAGTTTATGTAATAATCCTTTAAAATCACCCAAATTGGTAGCCAGCACCAAATTAAACAGCTTAACTTTCTTTATCTTCAATTTGTTCATTTTGATATATTATCCTAGATTCTAATATTGTAAAAGAGAAGTTTATTTAGTAAGTAGCTGAAAATTGTTTTATAATATATGGTTTATTTTGCAATCTGTGATCAACGAGCTATTCTGTTCAAAGCTGTAGGGCCATATCCCTTTCTTGCATTAGGTAAATTAGAGTCTGAAAAGATAAATGTTATGGCACAGAACTGGAAAATCTGATTTACAGAGGATTTTGATATGGAAGAGGACTTCTATAATATGTGTGTGTGTATGCGTGTGTGTAATTTTATATGCACACACACTTCTAAAGAATCAATTGCGTATAATTGTAAGAAGGACTCCATTTGCTCTTCTCTAGAGGAAACCATGAAATGTAACAAAGAGTAAAAACAGCAAATGACAATTGATATCCACTATGCAAAGAATCCATCAGAGTTGGGTGGCTCTAACAGGTTTGAATGAATGAATAAATAAATAAATGAACACTATAAAGTGGTACCTAAATCTAAGTTCTATTGCTATTTTTTTAGCCTGGGTAAAGAAATGTATAGTTTTTTCAGACTTCCGGTTTGTCGGCTTCGGCAGCGGCAGGGATTCGCGATACTACGCGATCCCTGCGGCGCTAGCCGTCTTGGTGCCTCTGATCCGGACGGGTTTGGAGGCTGGGGCTGCCCCGTAGAGGCAGCCGAAGACAGGGGGGATCCGGAGAGGGGTTTGGGGGTGTTGCAGACCCCCTCCCCAGCCGGCAAAACCCCCTTTTCTCAAGACGGTGGAGCGGCGGTCTGTAATGGCCGCCACAAAGAAGACGGCAGCTGGGTAAGACTGTGCAGGAGGAAGAGGGAGAAAATTTGTGAAGAGAAAGTTTTTCTTGGCTGACCCAGGACTATAAGACGTACCTAACATCCTGAAAGCTATGACTTTTTGAATGATATTCTGTTTCCAGAGGAGAATTTTAAGCGGCAAATTTGAGGTGCTGAAAGGAAAGTTTACTCTCCTTCCCTATGGAATCAAAAAATTTGGCTTCTTGTGATAAGTGGGAAGGGAGAGGACAAAAAAAAATATTGAGATTTTGTTGGAGGAGATGCCTTGAAGATTTTGAGACTAGAAATTAATTGCAACAAGGCTTTAAAATACAGATTGGGCTTTTCTTTTCTTTTTATTGATATTACCCCAGGAAGAGAAAGTGAGAACTTTGTGCTTTGCTTGGACTGATTAATGTCTCTGGGACTTTGGGACTGTTCTAACTTTTGAAACATCTTGGTTGTTTTAAGAAGAAGGAAAAAAAGAAAAGATTTACAATGGCTTTACTTGTTGATGAACTTAGAAAGGAATATGAAAAAATAAAGAAAGGAGGCAAGGACGCTGTGAAAGAAGCCTTTCTCTTTTTAGAAATGGCGCTTGCTATTTACCAGCAAACACAACAACAGATGGAGAAAGCAGAAGAAGAAGAAGAAGATGCCATCTTTAATGAATCCAAAAATTTAATTAAGAAAGAAAGGAGAAAGAGAGGAAGGAAAATGAAGGACTTAAGACTTAAAAAAGCACCCAAGAAAGAGAAAAATAAGATGCAAAATCAACACAATGTTGGAAAGCAAAAGAAAAAAGGAATACAACAGAGAGGGGAAGCTAACAAGGCAGAGGTTAGGAGAGGTGGGGGGTAAAAAGGTTAGGTGGGAAAAGAAAGGAAGGGAAAAGGGGGGAAAAAGCCACAAAGGTTTGAAACAAGATGGGAAAAAAGGAATTTTTTTTAGGGACAAAGGGTAATGTATAATTTTTTTAAAAAAAGAAGATTCTGCAAGGTACATAAGATGGTATTGTAGTATTTGTATTATAAATAGAAAACTAGAATGTTATAAGAATTAATAAAAGATTAAAATATTGAAATGTTTAGTAATGATAGACTTTAAAATTTAATAAAATATTAAAGGGAATGTTTAGAATATTGAGTTTAATTAAAGAGTTTAATTGACTATTGTGTTGATGTTATTATAAATTTATTACTGTAGCATTTGTTTTTGAAATAGATAATTGGAATGTTACAAGATTCAATATTTAGATTTATTATTTAATCATGTATTTAACCATTTTGGATTTATTATTTTTTCTTCTTTTTAAAAGTTAGTAGGTAGAATGTACTAAGCAGAATCAGACTGGGTACTAGGCGTTATTTTAAATGTTAATTTAGGGGGACGATAGAAAGGCATCATACTCTGATTAGTGATTCCAGGAGAAATTCTTTTTTTTTTTTTTTTCACTATAGGGAATGAGATAAATGGATAATTCGGGAATGGACAAAAGATACAATGACTTAAATTAAAATGAATTAAATAAAATAGAATTAAGAAGAGTGAAAAGCGGAGAAGCTATATAGAAGATATAGAATGGTAAATAAGATAGGTAATGGTATATAAAATGAGCATGAATTTAACTGAAGTCCATATAGAGAGAGGTAATCTGGGGCCAAGTTACTTTCTTAAAAGAAGTTTTATGTTTTTGTGTTTTGTGTGTTTATGTCTGTGTGAGAATTAATAAAACCTTGGAGGAATGTTGGATGAGAATAACGGTAATCAAGTCAGAGAGAAATGAAGATGATAACTATAAATTGGATAAATATAGGAAAAAATAATAATAATAATGAAATTGAATAAGAGTAAAGAAATGTATAGTTTTTTCCCTAACCCAGTAAAAGACCGAGATTAAAATCAGCAAGGAGACAATGTGTCTTCTTAAAAACTAACCAGATATGGTACCCAATATACAGTACATCTAATGAAGCCCAAAAAAATCTTGTCCATCTTATACCAATTAAGAATTTATTGATACTTATTTTAGCATGAGTGGAAACTGCTTTTATTGCACATTAATTCCTCACATTCTTTGTATGCACTGGAAAATAATAATTTGAATTATGCACGGTACCTCCAGCTAGCCCTTTATCTTTTGCAGGCTCTGCTTTCAAATCTGGTGCTGTTGGCTTTGAAGTGTTGATGGATTCCAGCAGCGAAACAAATTCTAAGAAATTTGATTCATTTGGTATCTGCCCTTCTTTAGCTTCCAGGTCAGATTTTGAGGTGGGCAAAAGTTTTTCTTTTCCACTAACAGTCTCTGATGAGTTCTTATTTAAAAACACATCTGTCCCACTATCCACACTGAGAACACGAGCGTGTCTCTTCTCATGAGTTGTTTTATATAAGGGGACCTCCAAATTCCACTGGCCTTCTTCTGGGTCTTCTAGAAGTTCAGAAGCATTTCCAGGACACATCATTCCTTCATGACTGTTTGATGGGTTGTCACTGATTTCCTTTCCAATATTGTCTTGTTCACCAGATTCATAGCCAGAACATTGATTAGACGACACATTTACGTTTAAATTCTCTGGGGTTCTCAAACTTTCACTTACTTCTTGAAAAGCATGGCCTCCATTCTCCTCAGATAGATCAAAAGTAATGACCGGGATTATCATTTGGTTGTTGCTTTGTTTACTGTCTTGAAGTGTAGCAGCCACAGCAGATTCTGGATCTGAACCAGATTTCTCAGGACTTGACTGTTTCATGAGCTGCAAGCCCTCTAAATCAGTAGCTGAGTTATGGGTGCTACTCATGGTGATAACTATTTTAATGGGTTCATGTAGTGTAAATGGATCCCCAGAATGAGAACTGTCCACCAATGCAACAGCGATCTCACTTTCCGATTCATCAAACTGTGTTTTCAGGTCATCCATATAGGAAGAGCTTTCTGCAACTGTCTCAGACTCCACAGTATTGCACCGAGGAAAACCAGTTCTAGTGCTGTCTCGAGCCGACCCATCCAATAAATTCTCTTTCCTTAAACATGTAGGATCGTTTAAATCCTCTAAAAAGAGGACAGGACTGTCCATACTCCAAGGCTCAAAAGAAATGCCTGTTTTTAAAATATCACACTGGGACAAAGAAAGATTCGGCAATTTTGTAACAACCACATCTTTATCCGGTGGAGCATCTTCTTCTGTAAAGTTAGAAGGTTGTTCCTTCTCTTCTTTTTCTTTTGTTCCACCATTGATAATAGTCTCCATAGCATTCGGCTTGTTCACTATTACTGGTGTGGTGGAACTTGGCACACCTGTCACGGAAGCAGGCAAAATATTGGCTTTGATACAGGGTGAGGTCAACAATACTGGCGGGACAAGTTGTTCTTCTGAAACCAGTACTCCTAGTAAAAACAGACAAAGAGATACTGCATATCAACTTTCTCAGAAAAGACATTCCAGAAAAATTCTTTAAAATTAGCATTTAATGTGCAGTTACATCCCATTGCTTGGAATGGAAAGTGAATATGTCTCAATTTATTTTGACAGCACCTATTATTTTCTTCAGAGTTAGAATCTACAACAAATAATATAGATCAATAGAAAGTCATGAAAATATGTTCAGTATGTATCATTATTTTTTAAAGGTAAAAACCCTTTATTTGTTCGTTTATTCAATTTCTATAGCTACCTAACTTAGTCAGGTATCTTCAAAATTCAAAAAATATTGCTATTAAAAATTCTGAAAACACAAAGGCAATTATATATGTGTTCCAGGATAATGATGCGAAATGGAATTTGGATCAGTCACTGGAGCCCATCTTCAGGGAATTTCTCTAGTGGAATATGTGCCTTGGGCTGTTTTGTGAGTCGTGTTTGTGAGTCGTGTATTGTCTTCCTATTGGCTGATTGGCATGTTGATGGTTGATGATTGGCTATCATTTCCTTGTGCTGCCAAGCCCTCAGCTCCTAAGTATTTGATAAGCTGGTGGTAATTCAGTGCTCCTGTTAACTGACAAGGGGACTGTTTCCTGGACTTCAATTACTTTCCTGGCTGTCTTTGTGCCTGAATGGCCAATGATCTTAGTCACTGCAAAATTAAATGTGCCCTTGTTCGTTGCAAGGTGAGGCTACCAATGAGTTTAGGTCTTCTGGCCTGACAGCTGGCTTGTGTTCTCGCAATCTGGTAGTTAGACAAATGGGGAGGAAGCTAACCAGCAGATTGCAAGAACACATGTAAGCAACCCAAACTCATTTGTAGCCTCATAATGCCATAGTTGTGCAGCTCTGCCATAGAATAGTGTTTGTGGCATACCTTTCAGATCTTCAATGGTTTCTTGAGCTGGCAGGTTCTGAAACGAAACACATCAATTAAAATGACGTGCACTGTAAATGTAACATTACATGTGTTTCAGAGCAACAATAATGTATTTATGTTCCATGTTCCATTAAACCAATGGAATCTCAAGATTAATGAATAAAACCATTGGATTTGAATATACAGCAAGATAGCTTGCCAGACAACCACGTTTACAAGAAAGCATTGGGTTATCTGTTTTCACAATAAAAAGAAATTGGCAATAGAAGAGAATATTTTCGGTCCAGGGTTGAACTGTGGGGTGAACTGATGATATTACCTTGATAGGTAATGAAATGACTGCAAGAAAACAAGCAGGCTCAGACAGCAACAAGGATCACCACAGAAGGAAATTAAATAATTTTGACTAAAATTGGAAATTATAAGGTGGGGAAGGATATCATTCCTGTGGATTGATACAGAGCTTCTACTATGATGGGGAACTAATCCAGTGAAATAGTTAAAGTGTTAAATATAGACCAAGATGTCCTAAGATGTTTCCATTGAACCATGAAGCTTGCTGGCTGATCTTGGGCTAATCATTCTTTGTTAGACTAGGCTCTAAATATAAATAAAGTTTTTAGATTTGTTCTGCCACAAGACAGCACCTTTGTGAAGAAGCAGGGGAATTATTAGAACAAGTACCAGATTCAGTTTAACAATTCCCAGCATTCTTCTACTCACTTGAATACTCAGTTCTCAGCGCTGATGACATTTTCCCACAAGGCCCAGATCCAAGATTGTTTTTCCCCGTTTTCAATTTCCCTGTTACTTTCAATAATCATTTAGAATTTGGGACTGTTGTGCTTTCAAGTTTACTTCCAGAGTAACTGCCAAAATGAAAAACAACTGGAGTTTCATGAATGTCATGAGAAGAAAATTCCACTCCCTTCTCTACTCTTCCTGGAATGAAGCAAAATCTATCATAACAGTTTCCCTGTTCCTGCTTCTCTCCAAGGGCAACAGTTTTCCAACACGCAAAACCTTGAAGCACAATGCATATATTGTTTTATTAAGAAAAAAAAGAAAGAAATGGCGGGAGGCGGCTATTCTTTTTAAAATAAAATCCATGTTGCATGTGTTGTTGTAATACGACACCAATGGCATATATATAGAGTGAAAAATACAGACATATTATTATAGACAAATGTTTACCAACCGGGCTTACCGAAGGGTAATGAGAGAGGATAGCCTGCCCTTTGATGCTATTGTGGATGGTGGGTGTTGAACCATTATGCTTGGTCTCTTCGACTGCACCACTGTCTCCTATGTTATTGCTGTTCAAAATAATGCATATGCAAAAAAGTTAATGATCATTATTAGATAAGGAATAAATCATTCTCAAAGATGCTGTGTTTACTACAAGCTGATTCAGAAATGCCATTAACTTTCTTCAGGGACAATCTGAAACATCTGCCTCGTTGGCTCTAGGTAAGTATCAAGTAATCTAGGAAGGCCCAGCCATAATGGAATGGAAAACAAAAGCTTTGTATGGAGAAGGTTCATTTCCCAGCCTTTCTTGCTTCAGGGATGAACTGTCGGGTACACTGATGATCTTACCTAGTTGGGTAATGAAATGTCTTCAAGAAAACAAGCAGGCTCAGAAACCACCAAGGACCCCACAGAAAGAAGTTAAATAATTCTGACTAAATACTAGAAATTATAAGGTGGGAAAGGATGATTGATACAGACATTCTACTATGATGGAGAGCTACTGCAGTGAAATAGTTAAAGTGTTCCCATTGCACAACCCTGACCAAGATATACCAGCTGTCTGATTCATGTAAGGCAGCTTCCTATTGATCCTTTAGGTTTTAAAAAAAATCTTCTCACTTTGTTTCTTGTTATTGGACATAATGAGCTCTGATGCAAACAGGGGTATGTATAGTATTATTAGAAATATGGCAGTAATGCCAATCAATTATTCTTCAGGGAATAATATCATTATTTTCCTAAAATAGCTGTTTGTCATGATCAACAAACATGTTATGACTGGATAAATTTCTAGCATCCATTTGATCCCATGATTTTGGAATAAATGATTCATCAGTAGACTCTCATCACATACATGAGGTGCATATTTTAAGAATACACATACAGAATGAGTTCGGGTAATACTAAATAGCCTTTTATAGAAAAGTAAACTTACCTGAGATTTTTATGCTGAATTGCATTGTCTCTTTTATCTTTTTTATTTTGTTTCCCTTCCTTACAAGGGAGCTTTTGTTGAATCATCTCTCCTTTGTCAAACATCAGGTGCAGGCGGTAAGAAATCATCTTTATTATCATGAAAAATAAGGTCACAGAACCACAGTAGATGACAGCTGTAATGGTAGTGGGGGGACATGCCTAGACAGAAGAATAGTGAAGTCAAGCTCATCATCAAAAATGAACTGAGCATTTTTTAAAATAACATGATCGTGATTAATATTGTTGTGCTCTTTTAAAAAAACTACAATTATACAGCTGATATTTGCCTTGTTCCTTTGCTAATTGTTTGAAATGTGTCATCTGCAGAAGCCTGTAAGATACTGTACATTATTATTATTCCTTTTCAGGTTTTAGAGAAGAGAGCTGGGGCTGAAAATATCACTTGCTAATAGAATTCATGGCTGACGAGTGGATTAGAGATTATAGTTAAATGTGCTAGTGATTGTCATGTTATCATTTTTCTTTAATGTTAAGATATTATGCTTTGTATTTATTTCATACTTAGTTTTTTGGTTTAACTCTCCAAAATTAGGATGCATAGATGCATGTGTGAGTGAGTGAAAGAAACTTTACTTGAGCGTATTAACATCGTAAATCAGACTTTAGGTATCATACTCAAGACTGACAGAACTACCCATTAGCTCTTTATATACCCCGTTTAATTTTGTTAGTCAGCCCAGAGCCTGAAAAAAAAATGTGGGAGCAAAGCACAAGCAATTCAAAGTTCTGTAATAAGGGGCAGAAATATTTTTGTTACAATTAATAATAAAGCCATCACAGCTGATAAACTTTTGAGATCCCTTTTCGGGTCATTGCTTTTTTGTCACTTAAATCCTTTCCCTCACGTCTTTCCTCTGCACCCAGGAATCTATCAAGTCTCTTACCTATATCGTGGTAAATAAGAAGGCAACATGTGCCTCTTCCCCAAACCAGAGGCCTACCAGAGGACCCCTCATCCTCCTTTTCCTTGTGTGCCCAGACCTCCTGCCGGCCGATCAGACTCACCAAGTGCAGCGCCATGGGCAGCAGCAACAAGAACAGCCAGAGGTAGAGATGGCAGCTGTTGGTGAATTTGCTTTGCTCTGGATCGTGGTACCAACCTCCGGTCAACGCTGCCCATACTCCCTGCCGGAGCAGCTGCACTGCCTGGGACACCATCGCCAAAGCCCTGCGCGCAAAAGGCCTCCGGCTCAATCTCCTTGCCGTTGCTCGGGGCGGCGGGAGCGGCGGGAGCGACGGCTCTCCCTCCAAAGATGCTTCGCGGCGTCGGGCATCACCCGAACCTCCATGCCGGATGCTAGAAGGATTTTCCCATCATCCTGCGGGGGGAGCCCAATCCACCAACCGGGTCTCCTGTCAGCCAAGGATGCAAAGCAAAGGCGGTGCCCTTCTCGACTCCGCCCCCCTCAACTCCCCACCTCTCCTTTCTAAAAATAGATTGCACTAAGCTGCTTGCGGTGGAACAACACGTCGGAACAGGCTATGATTGAAGCGTATTCCGGGATTGGAACGTATTTTCCCTTCTGGGCTTGGGTCCCGTTTCCCTGTTAATAATCTACAGCCCTTAACTGTACACATTAACATATGTTTGGCGTGTATGTGTGTCGAACTGCAAATCCCATCATTCCCCGGCACATGGTTACTGGGGTAGGGGGGCGCCAGCTTGGAGAACACCTCTACCCTCGTCCTTTTTTGCCTCCCCGATCTTTTCAGCTAGCCTCCGCAAAAGTATCTTTCTCCCTCTCCGTCTCCTATCTTGGGAAAATTAGTAATACCTAGGAAGCAAGCCTGCCTTTACCTCCGTACAGTAGGCTAAACCTGTTTGGAATAGGACACTAAACTAGGATCAGACTTCAGGAGAAACTACCAGGGGATTCCAGAATCCGAGGCTGGACTGGAGATTCTTAAAAGCATGCCAAAAAACGGCGGTGGCAAACCATCTCCCTACTATGGCCAAATTACACGGAAGGTGCCATTTAAATGCCAGAACTCCAGCAAGCCCGGAAAGCTATCTCTGTATGACTCCGCGAGAAAAGAAAAGAAAAAAGAACGAAATAAAAGGTAGAATTGTGCTATGATGTCGTCATTACTCGAAATTTGCCCTAAGATGTCGAGTTTTCCCTGAAATCTTCAGGTGTTGGATTAGAAGACTTCAAGGGTTGTACTAGATACAAGGGTCTCCAACCTTAGCAACTTTTAAGACTTGTGGACTTCAACTCCCAGAATTCCTCAGTCAGCAAAGTCCACAAAGTCTTAAAGTTGCCAAGGTTGGAGACCCCTGGACTAGAAGACTTTCAAAGTCCGTTCCAACTCTTAGGTATACGATAACGGGGGGGGGGAAGAAACAACACTCCCCACAAATCAATCCCTGAAGTTATAACGATGGAGTTGGGCACTGAGTGAGTCAGCACTAGGTGTTGCAGGTGTCAAATGGCAACTCACGTCCTGGAACAAAACAATAATTCTTCTCCCGTTTCTGAAATTGCGGAGTCCTGTTTTAACTGCTCTTGCCTTGGGGAAAACACACAGGCTTCTGAAATTCTATGGAGATTCTCTGTCATCCAGGCCATGGTTGTCCCAAAGGTGCTTTTTCAAGAGGCAACTGGACTTTCTGGTTTCTCTTTGAAGACGTTTTGCTTCTCATCCAAGAAGCCTCTTCAGCCCCCACCATCCAGTCAGAGCTGAAGAAGGAAACGTCTTCAAAGGAAAACCAGAAAGTCCAGTTGCCTCTTGGAAGAAGCACCTCTGGGACACAGGCTTCTGGCTGGGTACCACATCTTAAGTTTTCTATTGAGATATCTATATTAATTATCTAAAGGCTGCTCTAAACCCTGCACAAAAATGATGAATTGTGAATGTCATGCGAAGTAGACTCCTTGGTACGGGAAAAGGTTCTATGGATTTAAATACAAAGAACTACAAAGCCAAGACATGCTTGTTTTATGTCCTTCCATCCACCGCTAGGAGGTGCCATTGACAAGGTTTTCAACCAATTTAACAGCAAGGAGAAATGCTTCAATTAATGTGTTAACCCACAGCGGGTTCTTTCCAGTGCTTTAATGTGTAAGCTTTCTCCTTCCTGCTGTGTTTAATATTTGAACAGAGTGATAGTTTTATCAATATGCAGTCTTGTTCCTTCTTGGTGTCTTTGGTGATTTGGAATTAAGAATGTGTCTTGAATTATATACCATTACATAACCGTTCTTGTATATGCTATTGCATATGTGTATTTCTCTCATGGCTCTTTTAACTAGCAAATTCATGTTATGACGCCAATTCATTAAGCACAGCATTATGATTAAACCAAAGGAATATATTCAAAAATGTATATTGCTCTGTTTCCTTCTCTCTCTCTTCTTCCCTAACAAGGTCAGTTTGTTGGAATAACAAACCCCGCTCACATCTCAAAGCTACTATGTTGCATTCCAAAGAATGTGCTCATAATTGAATGATCCACTATGAATGATACCCATGTCTGCTTTAGCATGGCCTCATTTCTTTATTGGCTGTAAAGAAATTCTATTGGGTCTCCTTTGGATATAGAGTACATATACGCTCACATTTTCTTTGATCTACGCACTATGTCACAGAATAGAACTAGCATGGAAATAATGTTTGTCATTCTTCTCCAGCTGGTGGTCTTTTTTTAGGTGAGCTTTTCACCATTATAGCTCATCTTTGAAACAATTGGTTTTTTTAAAATCTGTTGCAAGTGTGCCTGCTTCTTCTCTCTTCTTTCTGTAGAACTCACTCCTATCAATGCATGCCAACCTTCCTCGTTTTATCAGCCAAAAGACTCAAAGCCAGGAAGCTTACACTGGCCCTTGTACAACACCTGCTCAAGAACTTTTAAGCTCGATTCCCAGTGGAAAGCCAAATGGGTCTGTAAAGGCCCAGAGACAGGAAGACATAAAAATGACCCCACAAGAAAAGTGCCAGGTTTGAACTACATCAGCAATGGATAATCCTGAATAGGATTTGCACTTCACACGGCATCTGCCGGTATTCCCTGTATAAATGGGGCACAGTATCCTCCCCTCAGTGTGTCTACGGGGTCCCACATCAAATTGTAAATCACATCATGACCAGCTGTAAGCTGAGGGCATATAAACAAGGCTGTACGCCAATGATTAGGTGACCTAGACATTGGTATTTGAACACAGATCTTTTAAAGATTTATATTTTATTGTGTTTCATTAATCTAGATGAAAATCTAGATGAAATACATATTGCTAGTTCACGTATGACATGCTGTACCAGTGGTGGGATTCATTTTTTTTTTACTATCAATTCTGTAGGCGTGGCTTGGTGGGCGTGGCAGGGGAAGGATACTGTAAAATCTCCAGAGTTGGTATTTGCCGGTTCTCCGAACTACTCAAAATTTCCGCTACTGGTTCTCCAGAACTGGTCAGAACCTGTTGAATACCACCTCTGCCATACACTAAATAAATAAATCTGTACAGGCTTTAAAACTTTTCAAGATTTGAACCCCACCTTCATCCTAGGTTCAAGTTTTCTTGCTTCTACAAAACAGAATTGTACAGATGTACGTTCACCATCATCCAAGCTTCAGGTCTCCAGTATAACTTATGTCCAATATATGAATTCCTGAAGGTCTTATATACTTTCAGTGGAAAATGGAACACTTTATTCATGTATTAATTCCTTTTTGAAAAGCTTCAGTCCTCAGCCAAGAAAAGGAAGGAATGAAAGATTTTGTCAATGAAAGATTAGTTATAAAACAATTCTTGCCATTAGGCTTATAATTTAAAAGATCGCCTATTGCAACGTGCACCATTACATCATTCTGAATACAGTGGAATATAGAAGGGGAAGCCAAGTTCCAACTGAATCATTTTGTATAACAATCTCCCACAAATTCATTTAAGATATTTGTAATGTGGGCTCATCTTTCAATCATGCTTTTTTTTTTTTTTTTTGCCATTCAGAAAAAGCTGGTGTGCGTTGCAATTTGCGAAGGTTCGTTTTAGAAATTACCACTAGTTTCCTCTTTTATAAATCACTGAAAAGGGGAGTCAGAGGTTTTCTCTGATGATGTGCTCAAAATAAATAGCCTGCTTTCCTATCTGTAGTACAGTCATTAAAAAGCTAAGTTGCCATGTGGCCACTTTTCATTGCCAAAGCAACTAACCTTGGAGAAATTTTCCAGGGACACTAAAAGGAAACATCTGTATGACAATGTAATATCCATGCAAGATAACTCCTATTATAAAGATTAGAGTTTGCGTGTATCTTACTTTAAACACTTTTATCAATCACTTAGCTGAAAATGCTTCCAAATCTGTTTACATTTTACTAATTGTTAAAAAAAACCCAATCCCTACTAACCTAAGGATACTTTTTCAAAAGGCAACTGGCCTCCTTTTGTTTTTTCCCCAAGAGAAGATAAGAAGCAAAACGTCTTCATGGAAAAACAAAGAAAAGCCAGTTGCCTTTTGAAAAAGCAGTTTTGGGACAACCATGACCTGGATGACTGAGAATCTCCATAGACAATCCCTGCTAACAAGCTTAAAATTACAAAGAAATGAAAAGAATGGGGAGGACAGATAAAAAAGGCACTAGTGCCAATCCTGGAGGTTATTGTTCTTATGACCTAGATGAATAGCAATGGGGGAGAGGATGAGTCAATGGGAGACTTGGCACTGCATTCCTATAGCACCTGCTATATATAATGGACAAAAGAAGCGTCAAAAATACTAGCTGAACAATAGGCTAAAAACTAATGCAAGATGGTTTGCTTAAAGAGTTGATTGCTACTAAACTATTAGTGGAGAATTTAATACAGATCTGCAATTATAACATTTCTGTACTGTATAAGTAGGGGACGTGGTGGCTCAGTGGCTAAGATGCTGAGCTTGTCGATCAGAAAGGTCGGCAGTTTGAACCTCTAGCACCACATAACGGAGTGAGCTCCCGTTACTTGTCCCAGCTTTTGCCAACCTAGAAGTTCGAAAGCATGTAAAAATGCAAGTAGAAAAATAGGGACCACCCCAGTGGGAAGGTAACCGCATTCCATGCACCTTCGGCATTTAGTCATGCTGGCCATATGACCACAGAGACGTCTTTGGACAGTGCTGGCTCTTCGGCTTTGTAACGGAGATGAGCACTGCCGCCTAGAGCCAGAAACGACTAGCACG